GGGGAAAAAGCCCTCAAAATATAGAGGACATAATTTAAAGCAAACATATTGCTTCATTCATAGCTTTAACAAAACATTTAATAAGTGAGCAAGATGAACTCTGGATTTGCAATTAATTATAGGTATCTTCCACACTGGGTAATAATTAGATAGGAAAGATACATGTCTGGCAGTTCTGGTAATTACAGATGTGCCGCAATGGCATGGGATTAAATCATGGGGAAGGAGACCCCCTTTCGCTCTAGGTGTATGACAACAGTGCACCAGACAACACACATAAAAACATTCATTCCTACCGATAAGAGCCTACATTTGCTCAATTGAGACTAGGAGATTAGTGACAATAGAGGGAGGGGTGGGGAGACTCATAGGTTTGAAGGGCTAAAACTGAGCACATGTACATAAATGTACTAAGCTTTTTAAAAGTACTGAACAGAGACTACACAAGGATGGTACTAAAGTCCAACAAGGAATTAAATACTTGCTACACAATCCTTGCTGTGCCACTGTCGAAGTAATCAATAGTGCTGGAACTAGCTCAGAGTCTTCGCAAAAGCAAAGGTAGGCAAAGGATAAAGAGGTTGCTCTTTTTCCTTTGGCTACCTTTGCTTTTGCGAAGCCTTTGTCCATTTCAAAAGCAGCCGGAACAAAGAGCAGCCCAAGAATGAATCACCATAACCGTATATGAATTCCCATCTCTTGCCCATGCATTTAATGGGAGTGTTTACTAGTAACCAGAAGTAAGGGCATTTCCATATTGAGTTTTTACTTCTTCTTGGAAACTGGGCATGTTGCACCTGCAAAGGCAACTAGCCACATCACATCTGTGCGGAAAAATCCTTGTTTATTTAGTCTCATTTATAAGCCAGTTTTTCCATCATTAAAGGACTATTCACACACCATGTAATGGACTTGTTAAAAGCAACCATGATTCACAGCAGGACATCACTCTTTAGTTAATAATGGTGTTTTATTGACCCAAATATGCACTGAAGCGTCAAACCAAAATTAGGGGAAACTTCCTTATTGAATGTTTCCTGTTAGTGTTGTCTATTATAAACTCCCTTGAAAGTAGATTGTTCTCAAAAAGTTATTTTCACAAGCTCTCCAGCCCTCTTTTTCCTCAGGACACAATCAAAACCCAGTGCCACACTCAGCTAACGCAGCTGCTGCCATAGGTCAGGAAAGAAGGAAAGAGAGGGAGACAGAGGGAGAGACAGATAGATCACCCTCACTCTGATTTGACATAGGACAGAGGTGGGAAATATGGGGGTCCTCCTGTGATTTCAGCTCCTGGAATCCCTTATTCACTTGGCTTCCCTACATGGGGCTGATGGTGGTTGAAATCCAAGACATCTGTTAGGTCAAAGGCTTGCCATATCGGATGTAGGGCTTGATCATGTCAAGGAGGCACAAACATGTTTGTCAGACTTCATGTCAGATGCATCCCAGGACAACTTTTTTTTAACAGTATAAAGGCCACTGGTGTGTTCTTTGAGCTCATGTTCTCTTTTATCCATCTGGCTTGTCCTGCAACTCCAAGTCAGAGGCAATAATGGGATTCTTTTCGGCACATTTGCCCTAAAGCTTTTCCTTGAAAAGCTGGAGCTGGTCCTTTGGCTCGAATTAGGACTTACCTTCTCACTACAGGGTCTGACTTTTACTAACAATTGTCTGGTTCAACTGCCCTGGAACTCTGAAGAATCAATATTCTGAAAGCTAGTTTTAAAGAGATAGAGGATTCAAAGCAATATGGTTCTCTTATACTTCTGAGATGACCAGTATGGTAAATATGCAATAATATGTTAATGAACAACTGCATGATTCAGCTGAAGCTGGCAGAACAAAGAGCCTTTTTTATTGTTTAGTCATTCAGTCGTGTCCGACTCTTTGTGACCCCATGGACCAGAGCATGCCAGGCCCTCCTGTCTTCCACTGCTTCCCAGAGTGCGGTCAAATTCATGTTGGTCACTTCGATGACACTGTCCAACCATCTCATCCTCTGTCATCCCCTTCTCCTCTTGCCCTCACACTTTCCCAACATCAGGGTCTTTTCCAAGGAGTCTTCTCTTCTCATGAGATTGCCAAAGTATTGGAGCCTCAGCTTCAGGATCTGTTTTTCCAGTGAGCACTTAGGGTTGATTTCCTTCAGAATGGATAGGTTTGTGCTCCTTGCAGTCCAGGGGACTCTCAAGAGTCTCTTCCAGCACCACAATTCAAAAGCATCAATTTTTCGGCGGTCAGCCTTCTTTATGGTCCAGCTCTCACTTCCATACATCACTACTGGAAAAACGATAGCTTTGACTATGCAGACCATTGTTGGCAAGGTGATGTCTCTGCTTTTTAAGATGCTATTGAGGTTTGTCATCGCTTTCCTCCCAAGAAGCAGACGTCTTTTAATTTTGTGACTGCTGTCACCATCTGCAGTGATCATGGAGCCCAAGAAAGTAAAATCTGTCACTGCCTCCATATCTTCCCCTTCTATTTGCCAGGAAGTGATGGGACCAGTGGAAATGATCTTAGTTTCTTTGTTTTGTTTTGTTTTGATGTTGAACTTAAGACCATTTTTTCTGCTCGCCTCTTTCACCCTCAGGTTCTTTAATTCCTCCTCACTTTCTGCCATCAGAGTGGTATCATCTGCATATCTGAGGTTGTTGATATTTCTTCCAGCAATCTTAATTCCGGTTTGGGATTCATCCAATCCAGCCTTTTGCAAACGTGTTCTGCATATAAGTTAAATATGCAGGGAGACAATAAACAGCCTTGTCATACTCCTTTTGAACCAATCAGTTTTTCCATATCCAGTTCTAACTGTTGCTTCCTGTCCCACGTATAGATTTCTCAGGAGATAAATAAGTCATACTCTAAGTCTTAGCCTAACAAACTTCAAAATCCTATTACTCTAACTAAATTCATAATCCCAATCCCTCTCTGTCATACATAATCCTAGCTATCTGACACACACCGAACACTTGACCACTCTTTCATACTCTCTCCCCCTTCTCCCTTTCTGGAAAGCAGCCAGTTGCAACAGAGTTCCTTGGAAGCATATTCTTAGCGTATTCTTACCTCACTCCTCCAATAACTGTCCTAATCTCTGACCCTGCACTCACCTGTCAATCCACCCAGTTTTCCTGTCATGCTGTCAGGCTGGGGAGTCTAATGCCTGAACAATTTTCTACAAATCCTATAGAAATTATAGACCTCTAGGAGAAAAAAATCAGAAGCCTATGTTCATCACAGATGGCATTTATCTCATTTAGGGTTAATTCCAGAATGAAATCAGAAAACAATTTCCAATTATATCAAAATTCATCAGGATATCAAGGTATAAGTCTTTTCATTGTTACAATAATTCCAAGTAACATCAGCTTGTTATCTGCAGTATTAACATTAGCAGCAATTAACAGTGAAAGAGGCAAGCAACTGCTCATGTATGAAAAGAGGATGTGAAGATGAAATGTTGTCAAATCAGTTCTTGCCGTCTTTTAGGGACTGCATGGGAGGGAATCTGACTAAAGAAAAGAGTGGATCTGAGCTGGTGGAGAAGCCAGAAGTAAGTATATGTGAGAAATACAGAGAAGAAAAGAAGGCAAGATGGAGAACAAGATGGAAAAAGAACAGAAAGCAAGAGAAGGTGAAATAGAAGGAAAGGTGGTGATATCCATTATCACCTCCTTTGCCATTGTCTTGTGACCTAAACGTTGTAATTCTCTAGCACTGAGATATTAAGAAAAAGCAAATATTCTTAATATTTCAGGGATGAGGAATTACAATGTTTAGGTCACAATGTGTAAACCACTTCCTAAAGTTTAGTTCCAGTACAATTAATTACTGTAAGGGTTAGCAGTTTCTCTGTAACTGTTCCTCCCTTCTTCCAGCCTATTTTTAATTTTTTTAAAAGATCCATATGAAATTTCTTTGTATGTATAAACTCTGGCAGATTTTCACAAAGCTACAGAAAAAGGTGGAATCTATGGAAAGTAAAGACAAAAAGAAAAGAAAAGAAAAAGGAATGACTTAGAAACATAATTTCTACATGTTTCTCTACTTCATGAAACTTGTTTTGTCTTAAATGCACATTCAATCCAAACACTATTAACTACTGAAGTTCAATTCTACATGTACAACATTTTTAGTTTTTTTAACCAGAGTTGAGATGACTATTCTGAGATGTATTTTATAGGAATATGTTACCGTCTGTTTAAATTATTCTTTTATTATATTTATATCCCATCTTTCCTCCCACAAATCTGAGGCTGTGTACACAGCTTTGCTCTTCCCCATTTTATTCTAACAACAGCCCTATGAGGTAGGTCAGGCTCAGAGTGTGACAGGCCCAAGGTTACCCAGTAAGCTTCATGGCTTAGGAAGAGAATTAGGTCCATGGCTGCTTGGTTGGGTAAGAATGGGCATCTCAAAACTCCATGCACTTCTAAATCTCAAATCAGGGGCCTGATGAGGAGGAAAAGAAAAATTATAGGTGGGATATTTCTCCTTCATTCTGGTAAGGTTTTTGGTGTAGTAATGTAAATATGAATTAGAGATTAATGAAATATTTAAAACATCCCCCTTTCAATGGAAATGCAATTTGATTAGCATTTTAGCTAATTAATAATTAACTTAATCAGTCACCGTTTCCCCACTAACTTTCTCATCTTTGCCAGGTTCCAGATACTGCTGGGCATAGGAATTGTACTACCTTTTTTTCAGTAAAGGGGAACATGAGTGTAAGCATACAGGCTTTCCTTAACCATAAATAGGGGCAGTGGGAGGAGAGATTTCTGATGCTACTTTCTTCACCA